CATTACACTTGTTCATTCAAAGATAGAATATGTATCCGCTATCTGGAACCCACATCTATCATATATCATCGATCAACTAGAAGCAATACAAAATAAAGCGGCAAGATTTATCACCAAGTAGTATCTTCGCAACTACAGCATTACAGTTATTAAACACTCTTTTTCATTACCCCCTCTTAAAGAACGCAGACTGTCATCACTTTTGTTTCATTTTCATGCATTTTAACATAGTAAATCCTGCTTTCATGAAGCCCACACAAACACACCTCATAATATTTTTTAACATATTGATCACCAAATCAAAATACAGCTTTTATTTGCATGCAGAAATATGTATCAACACTCACCATTACTTCTAGCCATACATCACTGGAACACACTGCCAGGGGACATCGTTTCAATCATTGATCATGCCAGTTTTGTAAACCAGTTGCATATTTTTTTTGACATACGACTTATCGTATTTACTCGCAAAATCAACGAAATTTTTTTCTCGAAAAATCGAAGCAAAGTTGGGCGTGGGTTTATTAGGCAGGGCAAATTTTATGAAAACTTTTTCAGTATGAGTGAAAATATGCGGTAATGCAAGAAAAAGTTAGGTCATTCAGCTTCTTTGTTGCACTTCACTCACCTTCGGTGGTTGAAGGCGCTATATTCTGCAAACTCGTCTCGTGCTGCCCGTGCATGCCATAAAAGCGTATTGTGGCTATCTTTTTTCGCAATCGTTTAACCGCAACCGTGATATCTGCTGTGATCACGAGGAGTGCCTAAAAGTGTGCGCTATGATGCCACGACACACTTTGTCACCTTTGTGGCAACCTTGCACAACGACCATAACGACGGCATAGACATTGTAGCAAGCAACAAACATTGCAGCAAGCTACCGCTGAAGGATCAAAACAAATCATCGATAACAAGAATAACTACAGAATACAGCAGCCGCCTCGCTTGCAACTGAAGCGACATTCGGGGACCATTTTGCAGAAATAGTCACAATTTTTCTAGGCGACAGACGATTTTTTTCTGGTTTTCTTAAAACCTGCGACACAATTGCAACAAACGGCCTTTTGAGGCACCAATAGCAATAGTAAATCCTGTCGTCGCTGCTCAAAAATTGCGTGCATGTGGTTGGGCCTTAAAGTTTCGTACATATTTGCAGGAAACGACCATTGATGGGCACGGGAAGTCGTGACCTTCGCTCGCTGTGTGTTTTTGAGTTGCGATGTCTATACTCGAACCAATCGTGAACCCTACTTTGGTGCATAGATATTTAAAAAAGACCGGGTACATACCGTGCACAGATAGAAAACATATAGAGCTCGTGGTGGCGGGTGAAAGGAGCGAGCCGAGGTGGCCGGGGGTGGGTCGGCATGATCATAAAAAACGGAAGAGATTCAACAGGCAAGGAGGCACCCAGTTATGGTTAGCGGGACTGCAGGAAAGGAACGTAGGGGGTTCACGAGGAAAAAAATTTTACTTTTGACGACTTAAGTTGGGGCTGTGTTTATTATGTGAGTGCATTTATTACGCTTGTAAATATGGGACATATTTAGGCATGTTTTTTTGTGCAAGCATGTATTTATTTTTACTCTTCCTTCATTGTAAATGTACTTCCTTTTTTTTTCTGGGAAACTTTCTGCATATTTTTTATTTTTTCACACTATAGCTGTGTCCCTCTTATCGAGATTTTATTTGTGTCACCAATTTTTTTCCGCTTTGCATCTTTGTTTATATAACTGTATTTTACTTTGTTTGCCATTTTTATTTTCCGATAACAATGTTTTGATTGGCAAATTTATTGTATAACGAAAACCCCTCTAAATGCCCACATGAGCCTTCAGGATACAGTCGAGCCCACATATAATGGCCCAGCTTAAAACGAACTTTCCCTTAAAAGGAACAATATCCGCATGACCATGAAAATATACATTGGTTCAATAGCACAAAATCTCACAACAAACGTCTCTAAGCGCCGCTGATCGGTTACAGCGAACGGAGTCAGCGGTCTGCGGATTTCCCGGGAAACCAATTTCGACCACTGATCAGGCATCGGCAAGGTGCCCATACATTCTTATTGCTAAACACCGACCCTGCCTCCGCGATCCTCTAGTGCCGCTCTCCCCAACTGGAGGAAGGAAAGCTGTTTCCTTCCTCCATGCCTTGACTGCTTTTTGTTAAGCACCCCTCCGTCCTTTGTCCGCCCGCTACTCTGAGCACCCCGCATCACCAAACGAGGCCCGTGTTTTCACACTGCCACCGATCTTTCGAAGATCGTTCAGCCATCTACCCTGTTTTTGATCGCTGGTACTGTCGTTGGCATCGCCGGCCTCGAGTGACCAGACCATTTGCCAACATTGTCGGGCACCGACTTTATCGATAATCTGCATCTAGTGCACGTGCGTACGCTACCCCACCGACTCTGATAATTTGCGATTCATTTCGTGTTTAAAACTTGTTCTCACTCACTTCGTACTCGGCTCAGCATCCCTTCCGTGTGCGTGCGGAAGTGCGAAAACAGCTGTTAATTTGCACGCAATGAATCCCAAATTATTAAAGTTCGTGAGGCCATGCAAATCTGCCGGCGCAACAAAACGATTTTTTGACCACGGCCTCCGATTCTTCGAACACCGCCGCGAGCACTGATCCAGGCGGCCATGCATTGACTTTTGCGCGCGCAGGCACTCTTTCCAAGTTTTTCTTCGTGCGAGTTTTGCGAACCTTTCAAGCAAGCTACCAGAGCTGCCTCCTTCCCGTGTGTTCTGGTTTTTAAGGTCGCGCTTCCACCGAATCCTCCCCTCTCTTTATCGCAACTCCTTGCCCTTATCTCACAAGTCTGCTCTCCTCTCTTGATAACAAACACTTATCAAGTGTTTGTTACCCACCGCTCCGCAACGCCCGCCACGTCACGCTGGCTCGAATTAGTTTCATTTTCTGACTAGAAATGGGCCTAGAGTTGTTCCACGCGTTCTGGCATGTGTGTCGCGTGTGCGTGTCTTGCTCGCTCTTGGTGTGCGTTTGTGGTCATGATGGCTGACGGGAGGACTAACACGCTTTTTCCTGCCGCTCAACAAAACCTCGAAAGCGTGACCGCTTGGCTTGAGCGTAATCCGCGCGTTGGGTGCCGCGTTGCGGAGCCCTTGCTCATAGCTGTTGACCACCTGGCAGCCAATTTGCCGCTTCGGGCGTCCCGGTATTCATCTGTGGAGGTGGTGAATATTTCGTGGGTGGCGGTGACGGCCACATGCGCGCAAAACTGTTTTCGCGAGGGGGACGTCGATGACGTCGGGCTCGATGCCGAGCCTGAAGGTCCCGAACAGGGCCACAGCGGCGGCATTTGTGGCAGTGGGTCATTGACTCCGACCTCGGAGAGCGGGTGGGACATCTGTTGTGATGGTTTAATTACGGCCAATGATGATGCCAATACTACAGTGCACAGATTGGCAAATTGTGAATGAAGTACATGACGAGAGCAATTTGGAGGAATTGAATTGCAAGAACGACGGAACTTTAGAGCCAGTGCCTCATGCAGCTTATGCCACGGGCCTCGGCGAACGAGCACCCTGACGGTTTAAATGAACTCGAGATCGCCCTTCTCCCTTTTCCTCTTCGAAACACAAGCATCACGGACTTTTGGGGGCAAAAAAGTTTGTTTTCACACGCAACTTTTTTTAAAAGCTGTGTTTCATTTACTACGAACTTTGGAATACAGGGAACCGATGCGGCGTCACGCTCAGGTTCGTTAAAAGCGGGCTTGACTGTATATGAATAAAATATGTGTATTTAACTGTGGTAGCGCCAGATTGATTGATATGTGGGGTTTAACGTCCCAAAATCACCATTTGATTATGAGAGACGTCGTAGTGGAGGGCTCCGGAAATTTCGACCACCTGGTGTTCTTTAACGTGCACCCAAATCTGAGCACACGGGCCTACAACATTTCAGCCTCCATCGGAAATGCAGCCGCCGCAGCCGGGATTCGATCCCGTGACCTGCGGGTCAGCAGCTGAGTACCTTAGCCACTAGACCACCGCAACGGGGCGCGGTAGCGTCAGAGAGTGCCACCTGTTGCCACTGGGCGAGCAACGCTTTCTTGCCTGCTTGGCATCACGTAGTACGTGATCTCATTACGAGACGGCAGCTCACCGATTATCCCTTGTATCTACTAGAATGACACCCTTGCTATCAATGAAGGAAAGTCTAATTTGAAGGACTAATTTTTCTTGTTAGACATTATACTAATGAGAACTAACAGAAACTTATGCCTGGGAATGTATAGAGGATAATATTGGAAGTAATTGTAATGTGAAAAAAGAAAAGTAGACTAAAAGATGACTTGCCACTGGCAGGATCTGAACTTGTGACCTTCGAATCATGCATTCGATGCTCTACCGCAAGCTCTTGAAATTATTTTTCTTCATTCATACCGAGGGTCTCATTCGAGCAGACTTGATACCTGCAGGTGGTATGCGAGGGACAATTGCTCAGCTGCCATCTCATAACAAGACCACGAACTACGTGACGTCAAACAAGCAAAAAAGAGTGTTCCACAATTGCCACAATGGCAACTGGTAGCACTGATTGACGCTCCCATGGTTAAATGCACATATATACCCTATAAAGGGACAAGGGGATGACCGCCACTGTAACTCAGTGGTAGAGCATCGGACGCGTTATTCGAAGGGCGCAGGTTCGGATCCTGCCGGTAGCAAGTTATCTTTTCGCCCGCTTTTCTTTCTTCACATTTATATTACGAGTACTTTCTAATAACATCCCCTATATACACCCTGGCATTATTGTCTGTTTGTTTTTATTGTATTATGTCTAAGAAAAAAAATGAACTCTTAAAATTACTGTCCTTCACCCTGTCTAAGGCTCTGTATTATAGCCTTGCAATATACCTCTGAAAAAAAAAGTACATAAATAAATCTAATATGCTTCTTAGTGGCTCATAGTTTGTGTTCTGAAGACTTACATATGCACTTGGGCTTTGCATAGTGCAGAGCTCGACAACACTTGAGTGGATTGGCCACGTGATCCTCCAGAGCAATGGCCTCCTGCTGTGCGGATACCACATGGTGAGTTGCTGCCAGGAGTGCTCTATACACACTAAACAAAACCGACCTTAAATAACCTGAAAAAGGGGGTAAACTACTTGTCCTCTAGCGAACTTCTTTTTCTGAATTTTTTTTACTACATACAAGTCGAGGTGAAAATTTATCCTCATGCTAACCTACCTAGTTCCGAACATAGCAAGTCTAGTCATTATTTACCATGTTGAGGTTTTTGAGTGAGTATAAAGAGAGTAATTTTTTACTGCCTTTACTAGGTTTTAGGGATGACTTCTGAGAGTTATTGTTGTTGTAAAAAAAAGAATACAAGCTGATGTGTGCCATCGCACATTGAGACCATAAATTTATTGAGCATCAAGTGACACAGAATTGATGTTTAACGTTTATTGTTCATCAACCCAAGAAAAGACATAGCTCTCCTACTGGCACTACCTATATGGCAGGTCAAAATCTTGGGCCTATATATTCGGGATTGTCGAAGTGCGGTCGGGTAATGCAAGCAATCTATTCATGTGGTGTTTTATTCTGCATTGGTTGTGTTAGTGTATGTTTGTGTCAGTGTTGATTCATATATGTGCATGCGTGAAATTAAATTGGGCTGCAAGACACCGTGAATAACACCAACTTTTTAGTATAAACCCACCCAATCTCACGTTTTCGATTATCCAATACTTAGTTAGCACTCCGGTCTATTGGCCCCATTTGAGAGCTGGTGATCACATGATGAAAGAGAGCTGACGATCACAAAATGCATCTCGTGTGCAATTTTAATCATCATTTTAAACACACATAAACAACACGCGTACTCTATCTGCGGCGTCTTTTGGAGGGATGTACTTTTAACGGAAGAGACTGATCAGTGTTCGGGTTTTCAATGCGTGCTCACGGATGGCCGCTTGGGGCCTTCGCGCTAGATGTTTTGACAATGGTTGGCGCATTGAGTGGACAATTCGAACTGTACATTGCACCAGCAGACATTGTCGTCTGTGAAACAAAAGCTGTTCGACGCTTCTTTCACCTGCCCCATCTACGCACTCACACTGGCCACTGGCCGGCTCGGTGCCGAGGACATAGTGAAGCATTTTTTTTATCACTTTTAAGTGGTACGGTCACTCTCCAGAAAGCAATCATGGACAATGGCACCAGCTTGATTTTGTTCCCGCTGGCAGATCTGTGTCATTCAGCATGGAAGTGAGCAATCCATGACGTCCAGGTTCGGAGGCTCATGCTCGGAAGCGCATGGCCACCCGATGATAGAAGAAACATGTAAGATCTATCAGCTCAAGCAGACACATACAGTGCAAGCTTCTTACACCACCTATCTCTAGGCCACCAGACAGCAAAAGCCAACGATTTGCAAAAATCTGCCGAACAACTTTAAGCAGGGTTTCTTTTCTTTCTTTTTTTTGGAGCAGGTCCTTTTTCTTTCACAGAATTTTTTTCTCATTCATATTGCTCATGATGGATACGTGGGTTCAGGAAGACGTGACTCCATGTATCCGTCTAACTCACCAGCGTAAGCTGTCTAACGCACCAGCGTGAAGCTTTTTGATGCCGGGCCCCGCTTTCTCTCTATAGAGAAAGTGTGGGCACATGGCTACGTGAAGTCGGGCGCTCTTTCTCTCTATATGAGAGGGGGCTCGACAGTGCGCCAAAAATACATGCGTCAATGCGCGGCAACGAATATGCGGGGTCAGTGAGTGAACTGCACCAGTGAGCGCTAAGAAGCAATCTATTGTCGTGTGCCCGTCCGGGCAGCAAAACGAGGAAAAAGTCGTAATACATCTTATTGCCAACAAAGCAGAGTTAGTTTTTCCGAGTCCTCAAAACAGGAAGAAAAGCAACCATGGCAGCATTTTTTCTACTATTTAACGCCGCACAGAAGCATGTAATCACGCACCAAGAAGGAATGAATGAGATAATCACAAGTTTTCATCCTTTGAGAGATTGGAAACCACGCAGCAATCAACTTTGCGGGTGCAAGAAGCGATAACCCCTGAAAGGAAGAAACTGAAACCATTAGAACGCAGGCACTGTGTGCCTGCGTTCTAATGCGAAAGCAAAAGTTGCCGCACTGCTTTGGAAAAAAAAACACAATGGACAGATATCAGTGCCTGTCAAAAAATTGCACGTCTTCCTGAAGCATGGCACCTCACTCCAAGCAAAAAAAATTATTGATCAAAGGGGCGTTTTAAACCACCCACACTGCGGGTGCACTCGCCTTCACTAGGGACTTCCAGTGCGCCTTTATGCAAAGCATAAAAATAGGCAATAATTAAGAGATATTTGTGCATCACAAATATTTGAGTGTGCGAAGCATGGTAGCACATGCCAAACAAACAGATTGATCAAAAAAGACGCTCATTTTAAATCTGCTGAACTGTGAACAGGCTCGGGTATGCAGGTGGTTGCCGCCGTTTTTTAAAGTGAAAAAAAAAAAGAGAGAAACCTCGGCACATGAAAGAAATTGCATGTATTCCCGAATTATCGCAGCCCATGCCAAGCAAAAAAAAAATGGTTGAAAAAGGCGCACGTTTTAAACATTCTGCTCTCCACACCTTCTGCTTCACTTTGCTTTGCGGAGAGCAGAAGGTGCGGAGAGCACCTTCTGCTCTCCGCAAAGCAAAGTGTGCGTAGGAGATGAGAGCCCGGGCCTCCGCGCACTCATTGCGCTATCTTGCTGGTTATGCTGAAAACACAAAAGTCGTCGTCCCCCCCCCCCCCCCCGCGGTACTACTCGTCACCAGCGGTAAGTGGTAGATATAAATAGCTTGCCATATGAATGTTGAAGGACGTGCTTCTCTGTGGCTCACTGGTTAACGGCTCGCATTCACGACTCAGAGGTTCCACGTTTGATTCCGCGCACCGGAGTCTTTTTTTCAGAACTTTTTTTTTGTATTTTTATATATATAGATACGGATACATATACGGTGAGGGACTGTGACGCCCATGTCGAGGTCGATAGCGGCGTCGACGCCGACATCAAAATTCTGCCAAGAGTGTCGATATCGCAATAAAAATTGCACCAGAAGTGTACCTAAAACATCTGTGTTCTCTACACCACGCTTTGCTGAGTTATGTAAGATTGAATAAGAATGAATTGATTGCCAGCCTCACTTCATATAACATTGCAATTTTTCGCTATCACATTTATTGCTTCACCTTTTTGGTGAAACTGAGTTTGTGCAATCATCTCTGTCACTGTCGCAAACTGCACTCGACAACATGCACACAAGTATACATAGTCACCGAGAAAGCTTCTTGAGACACAGCTAGGTATCCTGCTGCTACACACATTTTTCAGGTTCTGTACTGTTTGTCATAAGTTATTTAAGCCTGATTTGCTGGTGAACAAAGTGGCTTACTGGGCTTGTAGGTTTAGCATACTTGAGGTTTAACAGCACGAAAAAATACACGGCAGACAGGAAAAAAACAAACACTGACTTCCAACTGAAATTTTAATGACAAGAAGGCTGTTAATCTACCTCAGTGAACAGAAAGAACAGTGAAAAAATAACAGATTTAAAGATACGAAATATCTTTAACAATCACTGTGCCTGCTGCACCGACTCTCGTACCTCAAAAAACATAGCTCTCTTTGCGACAGAGCAACTGATGGCTTGCTTACGCATGCGGCTCTTTCAAGCGCCATCTGAGCAGCCTCATAGATTATACGCTCGTGTTCTTCGTTAATCTTACCGAGAACTGTTGTCCTTTGGAACAGAGGAGTGCACCCACACATGCTCACGTGTTGAGCCAGGAAGCCATCTTTGCCATTACAAACATTATTGGTGTGTTCCCGTAAGCCTTCTTTTAGGCATCTGCCGATCTGGTCACATAACATGCACCGCAAGACAATGGGGTCCTGTACACCACGCCTAGCGCACAGTCGACAAACTGCGTCCTATGCCTAACTATGCACTGCTTTCCGTTTCTCTTTACGGGGCAGGTCGAGTTTGTCAACTGGGACAACTTGTCAGGGGCACTGAAGACCACCTTCACGTTGAGGCGTTGTCCTATTTTCTTTAGGCGGTGTGACACAAAGTGCTAATATGAAATGACCACCACCTTTTCCTGCTTTTTCGCTGTGGTGCCCTGTTTTTCACCGTCAATGCCTATACGTTTCCTTTTCCCGTGCATTGCCTCCGCCACAGAAATGAGCAAAGGGTGCGGCTACCCTTCTCATGCTAGTCTCCTGGCGCAGTCAAAGTACCTAGAAAGAGAAGGATACCCGCGCCCTTTGCTTATTTCTGTGGCGGAGGCAATGCGCAAGAAAAAAAAAAAAAAGCGTATGGGCATTGCCAGTAACAGAGGCAAGAGTGGCGATGTGGGCTTGTTGGTAAAACATTTGAAAGAAATTTATGTAGCGCGAGGCGAAAAAACTAACATAGGAAAGAATAGACCGACAGGACAGAGCGCTACTAGCAACAACATGTTTATTTTCTACCTCCAAGCCGCTTTTGAGCCATAATCGTCAGGCGAGCAAGCAGATAAGCACGTGTATTCAGATAAATGCACGACAATGTCATCTACCTACAAGAAAAAACGATAAATAGGACAATAAAAAAACCTCACAGATAAAACCATAGTAGCGCTCTGTCCTCTCAGTCTATTCTTTCCTGTGTTCGTTTTTTCGCCTCGCGCTACATAAATTTCTTACAAAAAGTAACGGAGAGGGCACCTGAGCAGAAAAACGAGAGAAGGTGGCAGTCATCTATATATGCACTCTGTGTCACACCACCTAAAGAAAATAGGACAACGCCTCAATGTGAAGGTGGTCTTCAGTGCTGCTGACAAGTTGTCCCAGTTGACAAACAGGACCTGCCCCGTAAAGATAAACGGAAAGCAGGGCATGGTTAGGCACAAGACGCAGTTTGTCAACTGTGCACTAGGTGAGGTGTACAAGACCCCATTGTCTTGTTGTGCATGTTACATTGCCAGATGGGCAGATGTTCAAACGAAGGCTTACAAGAACATGCCAATAATGTTCATAGTGGCTTCCTGGCACAACACGTGAATACGTGTGGGTGCATTCTGTTGTTCAAAAAGACAAAACTTCTCGATAAAATTAAGGAAGCTCGCCCGTAGTACTACTCCACAGAAGATCAGTCGTAGTTTGCCACGTACCTCTGTGTTTCTACCACCCGTGGAATATTGCACTTCACTACAAACTCCGCGGCTATGTTCCGACATAGGAAATATACTTTATGGGATTCTGCCTCTGCGTTAGTTTCTATCTCAACAGTACGTTATGTTGGGCTAGTTGGTACATATTAGGCTGAAGTACGTGGTGCAAGGTTGACAAAGAGAAAAAAAAGACGAGACAGAAAGAGTGCCAACTCACAACTAAGTTTATTTTCATGAAGCATTCACAATATATAGGCTCTTGGAGGACATGCGCAGACCATTTCATTCACCGCACGTGCAGGCATGAACATTTTGATGATGTAACAACCGATTATTGCAATCATGATATCTGGGAACCAGCAACAAACAAATATGCCTGATGTAAAACGTCGAAAAAACCAAACACACCCAAGCCTGCGCAAAAAAAAAAGCGAGGAAAAAACAGCGAAAAGGACTGTCAGACACTTCGTAGCACCCATCTAAAGTACATCTAGATCCAACAGTTGGAATTCACTATTATGCAACACAACTGAAGGCACACTGACGCACGAGTCACCTTTCTTCCTTATGTGAAAGGCTTCGAGTAACTCCCGCGCCAGCGCATCCCGGCTCCTTCCAAGTACTCGCGTGCGATTGAACTGCGGCATGCAGCCACACGAAGCACAGTGGAAGGGCAAATGAGACCCTGTTTCATTCCTAATTGATAAAAAATGCTTCCTTAGACGATCATTTGTACAGCGCCCTGTCTGGCTTGTAGAGACCTTGCTACAGCTCAGGAGAATTTCATAAACAGTGCCCAGGGCACAACGCAGGAACAGCTTTGCATGCTTCTTATCGCACACCACCTTGGCACCTCTTAAAGAAATGCGAGCACAGAGCCTTGAAAGCTTATTCAGAGCAGAGAAAACCACCGGCACAAGGAGCCGATTTGCAACCTTTTTCAGGCTGTGGGAGATTTTGTGCATGTATGGTACAACATGCGGTCTTTTCGTCCGTCCTTGCAATGGCTTTGACCTCCTGCGTTCAACCACCTTAGAATGTATAGAATCATAAGAAAGAAGTCCTTTTCTCGTTCTAGGGCTGAACTTTCAACAGACATAACCCTCGCCCAGAGTCGGGTCAATATCTAAAAACTGCAAGCTTTCGTCAATGGGCAAATCATACGTAAAAAGCAAGCCTTTTCCATGTTGTCGGAACAGGTTCAAAACCAAATCTACCTTGCTAGAGTGCGTTACAAGGTTAGTAGAAGTCAACACCACGAGGAAATTATCCATATATCTAAAAATCTTAGGGACTTTTCCTGGATCAATGCATTTTCTGTATCGAGGAACATGGGGGCACAACTTTTATCAATACCTCTGGTGTATCTGTTTCTAACTTGATGTCAATTTTAGAATTTTACCTTCGTAGCACCTTTGTCTCTTTTAATAATGGGTTGTTTATTCAAAGAAAGGGCATTTGTATTGGTTCCTGCATTGCACCTGTTCTTTGTAGCATTTTTTTGGCGTCTATTGATCGTGACATACAACCCACCTTGTTTTACATTATCAGCAAAGCCGGCCGTATGACATTGTACATGTCTCTAGATGTTTTTTCAGCACTGCTGGCTTTTTGAGTGACACTCAAAAGAGAGTGCACACTTATCTAACCTAATTGTGCCAAAGGCCCGTCAAATTTCTTGGACTTATCAAGCGTCACTCAAACAAAAGTTCACAGAGTGCGACGAGCAATGCGAGTACAAAGCCATTGGGAAGTCGTTTCGGATGAGCGCCTGCACCCCTTGAGGTCAACGACCATCTTCTCTTCCCTTTCATCTTGTTCGACTCTCATCCTCGCCGCCAGGTCGTCGGATTGGCGGGAGCTGCTTACACCGGGTGTCTCAGGGTGGTCCGACGGCTGGCTATTTAAGCTGAAAACTATAGTACATTGCTCTCTTCCTTTTGTCTTCTTCTTTTTCTTCTAGTTCTCTGTCCTCATGTGATGTAAATAAACCTTCGTCTTTCCTGTAAAACTTCATCTCCTCACTACAAGTGATGGATCTGGTGATGAGGGCCAGCACCAGTTGAGGCCGGCTGAACCCGGTCCTAACAAACTGGAGGCCGCTGTGAGATCCTCCTAACCCTCGAGCCCCAACACTGTGGAAGATCGGGAGAACTTGAAAAATCGAAGTGGTACTGTCTGATTCTACAGAAGAATCTACGAAAAGGATGTGGCCTTTTCCCCACAGCTTTTGCGGTGCTACGCATACACGAATCATGCAGAAGCTTCCTTGGCTTCCCGGCTCGTGCCCATGCGCGCGGCAACTGGAAAGCACGGAAGGTCAGTCAGTGAACGTCATGCACTGAAATCTGTTGCTGAATAGAAGGCATGGTTCGCTCAACCAGAGCAGACTTGTTTGATGATGTAGTGCGGTCAATCTAACTGTTGAAAAGTATCAATAGATGACGCTGCAAGAGCAGTGACAAGTTTTGAAGAGGGTCGCCGAGGAGACATGTGATTGCTTCCTACTGCAAAGGAAAACGAACCGTCAGTGCTGCTGTCTAGGCAGAATCGTCAAACCGGTGAATATTATCGAGATATGAGGTGGAGCTCGTGGCGAAGATCAGATTTGTTTTGATTGCAGATACGACATCTAAATCACTGCCTGTTCATTATGAAGTCAACGAATGCTCCATTGCTGTTTCTGTAAATAACAAATACAGAACGTTCAAGTGAAGTGCCCTTGCACGACAGTCGAACCGAACCAACACATGCTCAGGCTACGATAACTTTCGTCGTTTACTAGTGTCAACATGATCGAGTGCATCGAACGAGTCCCAATACGATAGAATAAAAGCTTCAGAACAAGAAGCGACGCATAAATTCACACAATGTCGGAGGGCTAGTCTCTCCTAGGGAGACAAGCCCAACTGCATACTCTTGTCAAGCACATGATGTTAGGCGTGCATAAAAGGCTGGAAAATCCGTACTGCAAGAATGCATGTTCTTTCTTTCTCGTCATTTAGGTGCTCTTTTTTCATTCAGAAGCGGCCATATTTAATTGTTTTGACCAATACCATAAAAGCTTGAAAAACTGCACCACCCTCCACATTATGAAAAATTTTGACCTGCTGAGAAGAGGGCTCACCTCTTCTCTTGCTTCTTGCTCTAAATTTCATTGTAATGTGGCATGGGAGCATTGTAAAAAAACAGTTTGTTTCTCCAATAAAAGCGATATACAAAGCTTCAATGTGCAGCGGCTGCTCATGTTACACACGTATTTTGCTAAAGTCAGTGCTGTGGAAAGTGGGTTTAACTGTGTATTGCTGCATGCATATTGCATATGGTGACTTGGAAGAGCATCTGTAGTTGACAATAAATATTTGTTTACCAGCAGTGCGTGTAACACAGCAAGCAGTAGTGTATTAAAGGCATGATTTCTTTGTTCCCGATATGAATTCTCTGGTCAGAGCGATTTTGTGCTGTGGAGCACGTGGCAGCAGCGGGCGGTGTTCCAGCTGAACTGTGGTGGTGGTCACCGATCCTGGGACTTCGCTATAAATGCCCATGAAGGCCTCTTTGCTTGCCTGAAGACGGGCCGCATCATGGTTCAGCGCTGTAGTCTCAAGGAAGTGCTGCATCTATCGTGCATACGGGTAATGTATATCATATTTACATCATAAGCTATTTGCATATTACCTAGCTGATGTTTTTTCCTGAGGCTTCAAACCTCAGTGAGCCCCATGTAATTCTTGCTAGTGCCAAATTCTTTGTGTCCTCACTATTCCACAATGCTTTAAAGTGAACTGACAGTCCATGAATATTAAGATGGACCTGCATTTTTCACTCGCCAGCAAGCCAGTCAATGTAAAACAGGAACGAGCAGCACTGTACACTAGGTGATGAAAAAACTACAGACCAAGGCACATTGTTCAGCGTCTTTGCCTGTTGTTTTTTTTTCCCTGTCTAGCACGGTTTGTTCCCATCTTAGTCGTGTGTCAACAGGTTAGTTAGGTGCACATCTTATCAAGGGGGATGTGGTAAATGATGCAAAGGCTTCAATAAGATGACTGTATAAGGTCAATAGACTTCCAACTATTCAAACTCTTACAATTCAAACTAGCTTTTTTTATGATTAAATTTCAAATTTTTGGTTGCCCATTATGTTTTCAATGTATTTTAAAGCCAATTAATTCAAATGGCTTCAGTACATGAATTCTGTTCGCAGATATATACTGCTTGTCTGTTTCTGAAAATATCCGCTGTTTTTATCATTTCCAGCTAGCTGAACATTTGCAATTCGATATCAGTAACATTCACAAGTAAAAATTAATTTCTGTTCACCTGCATTGATAATCGCATGTTGAGTTTCGAATAAAAAGGTGACCTGGCACTGGTTCATCGCATGTCAAACATTCCTTGAATTACTTTTGTCATACCATAGTATTAATGTTGCACGGAAAAGTACTAAAATTTCGGACGGGTAACCAGCAGTCATGAGTGTATAAATTACAGATGCGTATACTCACCATGTAATAGTGTCTGAGGGTCGTGACGTCGACAAAGAAACAGACAGTACGATGAAGGTTAAGCTGTTATTTGAGCGAACTTGCGCCTGGTAAACGGAAAGTCGGATTACAATAGCAGACCTGCACTGATAGCGGTGAACGGATCGTCAGCTGTTGATCAACGGACAAGCGGAGAAGCGCGTTGGCATTTATACACTTGCCGTCGAATGTTCTAGCGTTATCGCTAGCGGTGACGTAGACTTCAGAATAATCTGTATAGTTCGCGGAGTGGACGTGATCTTGAAAAAATGGCTTACTACAGTCCTGAAGCTTCTCGAAGACTGCAGGCGCAGTTTGCGCTGAGAATTACGTAGTGTATTGGGGCGATAACAAAACTTAAGAAAAGGAACGTAGCATTGCCCCCCTCTGAAAAAGGCATCGTCACAATGCTGTATTAGAAGATGAAAGTACAACAATAATACGAGAAAGTACAAGCAATAAATTATAATACAGCACTAATACAACCTTAAACTCAAAGAGGCACTAATCACCTTAAACTCGAAGAGGCCATCCGGTGTTATAAACGCAGTCTTCTCCCCGCAGGGGCGCCTGCGTAAGTAGGCGTTTGGTGTGTAGCGACACCACGGACCCGAGCTAACGGGGGAGTTTCTACTCCCTCCCACGCCTAGCCGTGCGTGGCTTTGCCGTGTCCGGGGAAAAGGGGATCCTGGGGGTTGAGCCGACGCTGGGTGATTGGACCGTTAAGGCCCCCCGGCAGAGGCAACACACCCCTTTGGCCCCGGCTTCACGTAGACGGCACCCCTGGGCTGACCCACCCAGGGGAAAATCGGCAGTCGCCTTTTCCTATCTCTCTCTCCCTACATCTTCGTCTTTTGTTCTCACTTTACATCTTTCCTGTCTTTTCCTCACTTCATTTTACTTCCAATTTTTCCTGGCGGCAAGGGTTAACCTTGTGTATGTGCTCTGTCTTGCGCACAATATATTTGGTTATAGCGGCTGTGTACAGCTGACGTTGACATGCCTCATATAAATTTAGGACTTGTCACGTCCCCGTGTTGGGCTCCATGGTGGGCGGCTGGCATGGCTGCCGAACTCATATTTAGTTTATGGCTTTTTCTTCTCTCCCTTCATTGCACGATCGTCCTCTCTCGAAGAGAGGGCGCACCGAAGACTTTTGCAATTATTTCAGCAAACCAAAAGAAACCTTTCCCCCCTACCATGTAATCCATTGTGAAACCGCTGAAAAGAACGCCAGAACTATTTCGCCTTTCGTTGTTTCCAAATGCCTCACCACTACACTTGGACCAGGTTACCAGGCTACAAGAATGGCCAGTGGGGATCTCCTCCTCGAGGTAAAAAGTCAGAGCCAGTATGAAAACCTCTCAAAACTAGAATCGTTTGGAAACATACCTATCTCAATTACACCACACCGCTCACTCAACACTTCCCGAGGCGTTGTATCTGATCAAGACTTGCTTGACCTGACTGAAGATGAGCTCCTCGAGGGCTGGAAGGACCAGCAAGTGACACAAGTACAAAGAATCAAAATTAGACGTGATAAGAAGGAAATCCCAACAAAACACATAATTGCGACATTTTGCACCAGTACTCTGCCTGAACATCTCGAAACAGGATACTTGAAGTTGAATGTGAGACCCTACATTCCCAACCCACGATGTTGCTTCAAATGCCAGCGTATTGGTCACGGCTCTCAGAGTTGCCGTGGCCAACTCACCTGCGGAAAGTGTGCCACCACAGGACACGCTACGGACGAGTGTAAGGTGGAAGATGGGGCCCACTGCGCAAACTGCGATGGTGCCCATCCCGCATACTCCCGAACCTGTCCAACATGGAAAAAGGAAAAAGAAATTGTTACAATCAAAATCACACAAAACATTACTTTCCGAGAAGCCCGTCAACAAGTATCTGGTCTTTTCACAAACAAACCATCGTTCGCCGATGTAGTGCTACAGGCGGCAGCACTACAACGGCCTGCGGCAACTGCCCATGCCAGGCACAGTGTGCCCAGGCAGTCGCCAATGCCCCCACCCACGACGAGAACAGCCAAGGCTGCCCTGCCACTCGTCCCCACGATGACAACCACGGTGACAACCACGGCGACAACCACGGCCGCTGCAAGCTCTTGCAGCGGCCAGGGTATCCCAGCACCAAAGGAGGTTCCTTTGACCTCTAGCCCAAGAGGACCGAAGGTTTCGCCCCCCGAGGTGAAGGAGACCCCAGGGTCGGCCTATATGAAGACCTCGTCTCATCAGGCGAGGTCCCAAGCCCAAAACATCAGCTCGCAAATGCGGGCACGCAGTGCCTCTGAGGAGGCAATGGACACCACGGTACCCCTGGTGCAGAAAGATCGGCGTAGCTCCCTGGAGCGCGCCAAAAGAAATAAAAAGCCAATAACGGGGCCCGGCGACGGCCCTGTTCTTTGAGTCTTAAAGCTTAGCTTAAGAAGCAGACACACCCATTTTTCCTTACACACAGCACTACGTTACCTCCAATATGGCAATACAAATAATACATTGGAACGTCAGAGGACTCCTTAGAAACCTCGATGATGTTCAAGAGCTCTTTTGCAAATATTCGCCGAAAGTGCTGTGTGTACAGGAAACTCATTTAAAATCTAAAAACACGAATTTTTCGCGTCGGTATGTTCTCTTCCGAAAGGACAGAGATGATGCTGCGGCATCATCCGGCGGTGTAGCCATTATTGTTAATCAAAAAGTAGCATGCACACATTTACCACTGCAAACAACACTAGAGGCAGTGGCTGTTCGAGTAGTTCTTTTCAACAAGCTCGTCACCATCTGCTCTCTGTACATACCCCCACACCACCGTCGTGGAAAACTAGAATTCGAGTTCTTAATAGATCAACTACCCGAACCTTAATTGGTCCTTGGTGACCTGAATGCCCATAGCAGTCTATGGGGTGATTCTCGCTGCGATGCACGAGGTCGTCTCATTGAACAGTTCCTTTTTTCCTCCGGTGCCTGTCTGTTGAATAGGAAAGAGGCAACATATTATAACCTTGCCAACAAAACCTACTCTTCCATAGATCTCAGCATCGCATCTCCTTCACTTGTACCATTACTCCAATGGAAAGTTCTAAATAATCCCTGCGGAAGTGACCATTTTCCTGTTGTTTTGAGTACACAAACATCATACAAATGTCCTCCACGAGTTCCCAAATGGCTTATACACAAAGCCGACTGGGAACAGTTTCATAACAATGCTCAGTTATGTTGGACTGACATATGTGGGCTAAGCATAGATGAAGCTGTGCAGTACTTCACAGCTCTCCTTATTAACGCAGCAGCCAAATGCATCCCACAAACATCTGGACAGCCCGGCAAGCGACACGTCCCATGGTGGAACACAGAGTGTCGTAATGCACGAAAAGAACAGAACAGGGCATGGAGGTTGCTGCGAAACACGCCGACAGCTGAAAACCTTGAGAGCTTTAAGAAAATAAAGTCTCAAGGCAGGAGAACGTGTCGGCAGGCCAGAAGAGAAAGCTGGCAGAAGTTTTTGTCAGGGATCAATTCATACACACAGGAGGCTAAAGTCTGGAACATGGTCGGTAGGATAGCAGGAAAACAAGTACATACACTTCCACTCGTAAACACTCAGGGTGATACCTTGGAAGATCAGGCAAACTTCCTCGGTGCACACTTTGAACAGATATCCAGCTCGTCCCACTATACCGACACTTTCCAAAAATACAGAACAAGAATAGAAAAGCAGAAACTCGAACACAAATCCACTAGATACGAGGCGTATAACCAAGCTTTCAGTCTAGCTGAGCTCCGAACATCTCTAAACTCCTGCAGTACTTCTGCCCCAGGCTCTGATCGTGTGGTGTATGAAATGTTAAAAAACCTACCAGCCGAAACACGAAAAACCTTACTTTGTTTATACAATGCTATCTGGTTTTCTGGCACTATCCCTACCTCCTGGAAAGAGGCTATTATTATTCCCATTTTGAAAGAGGGCAGGGACCCTTCTTTAGCTTCAAGGTATAGACCTATTGCACTTACAAGCTGCTTGTGCAAAGTCTTCGAAAAAATGATAAACTGCCAACTTGTACATATCCTTGAAACAAACAACTTGCTCGA